CCTGGGCTTCTATTCTCTTTCTCCTCACTAAGTAGAAATGTTTCACCAGAATGACATGTCGGTTGTTGTTGCTGAACAAAATGATGCAGTACCATCAACCTGCTATGGTCACCACCCATGGACCACCTCCTAATCAAATCTTGCTAAACTTCCTCTTCCAGAAACATCCACAAACACTTCCTTTTCCTCCTTTTTTGGTCTGTGGCTTTCATGCTTCTACATGCAGGTACATATGTGTATGGGTACATGTGGAGGCCAGAGGACAGCTTTGGCTGCTGTCTCTCAGATGCCATCCATTTTGTTTAGTGAGACAGGATCTCTCATTGGCCTGGTACTCTCTAAATAGGCTAGATTGGACGGCCACGGAGTCCCAGGGCTCTACCTGCCCCTGCTTCCCCAGTGCTGAGATTGCAAGTACATGTGGGCAAGCCAGCCTCTTTTAGAGGCAAGCATTTCCAACTGAGCTGTTGCCCCAGCTGTGCCCTTTCCTCTTTTTCACATTGTCTGTCCCCTCTGCTTTCTGTTACTAGCTTTTCTGTTTATTACTTGCTTCTATTTAGTGCTAGTATGTCTTTGTTCTTTATTGTTCTTTCCCTCGCCCCTGAGTTTTGAGAACCCCTGTTGGAGTAGCCAAAGCCAGCTTTGAATTCACTACATAGCTGAGGATGGCCTTGAACTCCTGATCCTCCTACATCGTCTCCTAAGTGCTGGGGTTGCAAGCACGTACCATTCTGCCCCATTTCCATCTCGTCTCTTATTGAAGGCTCTCTCAAGATGGAACATTCTGTTCCCATTTCTCAGCCAGCTCAGCTGTGGTAGATGCTAATGAAGTCCTATGTAAAACTCTTCACCTGCGGGGAGTGATGCTATCATTGGCTTAGTGTTGTACCTTCCCCCAGAGACTGGACCTCAAGCAAATGTAAGCATACCTGGGGATGAGAGGGGGTGAGTACCGTTAACCCCCAGCAGGTCTGACATGGTATAAGAAAGGAGACTCACAAAAGGTGGAACCAACTCGGTGGCAAACCTCAGAATCTTCCCCAGGAACCAAACTATTGTTAATTCAACCTTGAGCGTATCCTGGTTCGCTCACTTTCACAGTGCTGACTTCCACAGCTCATGGCCGCTGGTCTTCTCCACAGGACCCCCTCACCTCCTCTTCTGGTCTTCCCATCTGAGCAGGGTTACTTACAATGATGAAATGAGCGGTTTAGGGATGCAAGTTTCCCTTGCTTCAAAGGACTGTATGTTTGCCATATAGTGTACATCTCAGCCACATATGACAGTTCATGTGCATCAGACCAAGGCTGGACGTAACCTGGCACACACTTTGTCTGGCTCTTTTCCTTCCCCATCTACTTCACCTGTCCCTTGCCAAGCATTCCTTACCACTAAACGTTTGTCTTGGGTTCTCTTTCTAGTAAATTCAGCATCACTGGTGCCAAACCTTTCCTCTCATTTTTCCAAATAACTTTCTCATTTAGTTAAAGGGAATTTCAGCTCTGACCTGTGCATTCCACAGGCATGACTGAATAGCTTGTTCCAAAGGCTAGGTCAAAAATAATTATCTTTTTTGAAATAATTATAGGAAATACCCGCTATGTTATCTCATCATGAGGATTTTAAAAGCTGATCCGTAAATCCATAGTCCAGTGCCTGATGTATAGCAAATGTCCTTAGGTGTTGTTTTACTCACCCATGGATGATAATTGTGCCTATGTGATGCTTGCTGTAAAGTATGCACACAACAATATCTGTTGAAGAAATGAGACTGAAATTTCACTTTGAGAATCAAGACTATGTTCTGAGATTTGGCCAGCAGAGGGCAAAGTGGATGCAGAAAAAGATCAGATGGGTTGAGTGATGTCTCGAGATTATGAGACAGCTCCCTCACTGTTGGTCTAGGGTCCATCTGAGAGAGGGCTGAGAGAAATGCCTTCATCACAGGAGATTAGTGTTAAATCTGCTACTTGAAACTCTAGAATCTCTCCTACCAGCCCTCAGTAGTGAAGCACACTGTGAATCCAGACAAGTTCCTGGTCCTGATCCCCTGCCTCAGTCTCTGCAGCTCCAGTTTGAAGCCACAAGCTGTGCTGCACCTTCCCGATCTCCCCTGTGCTCATGTTAATTCACATTGGGTGACTATAACTTTCAAGTAAAGGAATCAGAATTAAGTCTCCCAATGAGTCTACAGGTGAGATGAGCCTCCTCCACAGATGGGGACACTAGAGTCACAGAGCAGCCACACGGGCGGGGGGAGGGGGGGCGGCGGCGGGGGCTCACTTCCAGTTCTCTAAATCCTGCAGATCTAGTTAATTTCATTTCTCAAGAATGCTTCCATCCTTTACCATCTGACCACGCAAAGCTGTACTCAGACACTTTTGCAGAGCTCCAACATAGCTGCTTGTGGAATTCCCTCTTCTGAGCCTCCACTGAAGAAACACAGAAGCATTTATTTTATTGTTTTTAAAGATGCAACTATTTTTATTTTACGTGTCTGGATGTTTGCCTGCATGTCTGTCTGTCTGTGCATCACATGTATGCCTGGTGCTCTCAGATGCCAGAAGAGGTCATTGGATCCCTTAGAACAGGGGTCAGCTGGTTGTGAGCCACATAGCGCTGGGAACCAACCCTGGGTCCCCTGCAAGAGCTGTTAACTGAGAAAGTTTTGGTTTTATTGAGAAAAGCAGCTTTCTTGCCCTTTATAATGTCAGCATCATATGCTGGGTCATTTAAGTCAAGTATCACACACACCGCTGAGGTGGAAAGGGAAAATCACCTATAACCCTATGCCACTGAGATACCTGCTATCAAAAATCCTTAGAGCAGTTGCTGAATACAAACATGTATGTTTCAGTGGGACCTTCTGGGAAACGCATGGGGATCCCTCAATTAGCATCAGACACAGAAATGGGTGGCTTCAGTGTAGGACCTGCAGCAAATAGCTGGTGGAGAATTCACTCTCCATGGTATATAAATTAGGTAAAACCATGTGAAATCACCAATATGCTTTATGTACTTCAGTCTAATGTATGTGAATGTAAGAGCAGAATTGATAAGCCATGTAAACTTTCAAGTCTATTTTATTATACGAAAGAGAAAAGAAGAAAGGGCCAGAAAGAGAAGAAGTACCCTGCTGTTTTAGTTAGGGTTTTTAGTGCTGTGATAAACATCATAACGGAAAGAAACTTGGGGAGGAAAGGGTTTATTTTATCTTACATCTTTCAGGTCATAATCCATCACTGAGCTAAGTTGGAACCTGGAGGCAGGAACCAAAGCAGAGTGTATGTATGTGTGTGTGTGTGTGTGTGTGTGTGTGTATATATATATATATATATATATATATATATATATAGAGAGAGAGAGAGAGAGAGAGAGAGAGAGAGAGAGAGAGAGAGAGAGGCTTCCTCCTCCTGGATTGTTCAGTTACTTTCCTATATACCCCAGGATGGCACTACTCACCTGGGCCCTTTCACACCAATCATCAATCAAGAAAATAACCTACAGGCTTACCTACAGGCCAGTCAGATGGGGGCGTTTTCTGAGCTGAGGTTCCCTCTTCCCAGATGTGTCAAGTTAACAAAAATGAAAAACTTCCAATTGCCACAACTAGCTAAAGTGACACACCACTTTAAATGTAAGATGCTCATCGGTTCTCCCATTGAACCAAGCCTTTTACACACGGTATCATTCAACATGGCCATCTCTTGGGTGTAATAATAATCCCCTAGAAGCAAATTTCACATTGGTATTAGAACATTTCTCACATAATTCAGAGTAGAAGAAGCTATACCCAAAGTAGTAAAGTCCCTGGAACTGGAGACGTGACTGGGAAGGGTCAGGTGACATGACCCATGTCACTAATAAATATAACTCTCAGGACCATGTGCTTTCACAGGCTGTCTTAAGACCCTGGAAGTACTTGAGCAATACATTAACACAGTGGCATGTCTTTGGTAATATTTGTAAAAGTAAGATATTTCTCACTGCCCCCCATAACTCCCTACCAAGATAGAGCCCCCCCAGGCAGGTCTTGAACTCCTAATGATCCTCCCTATTCACCCTCTTGAGCACTAGGATACAGGCGTGAACTATGTGCTTGGCCTCAAGGTCTTTGGGCCAGAATCTTGCCCCATGTGTCATTCAAAAAGACAAAAGGACCAAAGTTCCTGGATTCCGGTCATGGCACTTGTTCTGCTTATTGACAGATGAGACAAAACCCACATGTGTTAAGTTCGTATAAAGAAATAAAACATGAATTAACACAAATAATCAGCATTGCTCTGTTTTACCAATGTTTCTCATGTTTGAAGGTCATACATTAAAAGATCATGTGTCCAGAGTGTCTTCTGTTCCATTTCCCTTCATCTTCCTCTTCTCCTACCCGCCGGTAGTCCATATTTCTATATATTTGTCAATGAACTCCTAGTATATAGTGCCTATCTTTGTCTGGAAAAAATGTCTTATACACAAGGCCAAGCCTACCAGCTCCTCCTCTCTGGTTCCAATTTCTTACCAATTTCTTGTTGATCTTATATAGATAGAGACACTGGGGCTTGAGAGGGTCCAGAGTTGAGTTCTGGAGGCCCAAGAAGACAATCCTTAGGCATCGTAATCTTCCATCATCCTTGGGCACCTCACATCAGATCATAGACACTCGGTTCTTGATGTATACGTGATAGGGGTCGCTACGTTTGTCCACTTTTCGTGAACGGGTGTATCCCAGGATGAGACTGCCCACAGTGACAGCAAACAGGAACATGACAAAGAGAATGTACATATAGGAGTTATCGTTACGTCCAGGAAGGCTAGCCCGACGCTCTTCAGTTTGATTGTCTGATCCTAGCCCTGGTCCAGGCCGGCAGAGCAAGTGACTGTGAAGGGTGGCATTCAGAGCCTTTAGTACAGCATGGAGGCTCTTGTACCAGGCCTCAGTCCCGTTGGAAGTCTCCATAGCAACAGAAATTGAGGTACTAGAGGAACTGGAATGTGATCTGATGGTGAGAGAAAAAAGGGAAGGGGTGGCTCTGTTACCCACAGCTTGAACGACTTCCCCACTTTGCAGACCTAGGCTAGAGCCCCAGTACCATGGCTCTTCTCCACCCTTCCTCGCTGGTCTGTCTTCTCCACTAGGTCTCAGACTCAGTGATGGGAAGGGCTGTCTGCTTTCCTCCCTGCTGTACATAAGCACTCAGGAAAGCATCCTACAGAGCATATGGAATGGAGCCTTTCCTGGCCAGTGAAATCCATGTTACCCTCTCTTTTCTTTGGACTGTATAAATTGACTAGACTAGGCTGAGAGAAACTTAGAGGTTATTTAATCAAATTCCTTCCATTTTATGCACAGGGAAACTGAGGCCCCAAACAAATAAGTAACCTATTCATGATCGGGGAGTAGCAAACACTATTTTTAGGACTCCTTAATAGATCAAATACCCACAATCCAATGGCCAATTCCAAAGCTCTCTTTCATCTAAGCATAACTGTCAACAAACATTATTATTACATATGTATACATATACATATATATATACATATACATATGTATCCCAAACATGATTATTACTTACAAGGTCTTTCCCTAGAAAAGATAGTCTGACCATGATAAATACTCATGACAGCTCTATGCAGAGTTGGAGAGACAGAATCTAAATAACATAACAATATTCTACTGCCTGCCACCCAGGACTGGCTTACATTCCATAAAAGACCTTTTTAGGTTCTCTGCCATCCAGTACTTGTGCTCTTTTCTGGATAAAGGAAGCAGAAGAACTTCCTGAATTAAGATGTTAAGAAACAAGAAATCTAAGTTTGCCTCCACATGGACCAGTGGCAAGCAGGAACACCACAGTGAAATTAATGATTCAATGAGTCACTCAGTCAATCATTATTTTCCTGGACTAGGTTCTGTGCTGGGGCCTTGAGAAAGCTAAAACCCAGTCCTCACCCTCAAGGCCAGCCTAATGTGGTTCAGGTAACAACCCAGGAGCTACATAAAAGAGCTACTTAAAGTGATTAACACTTGCCGGGTGTTGGTGGCACATGCCTTTAATCCCAGCACTCGGGAGGCAGAGGCAGGCGGATCTCTGTGAGTTCGAGGCCAGCCTGGTCTACAGAGCTAGTTCCAGGACAGCCTCCAAAACAATACAGAGAAACCCTGTCTCGAAAAACCAAAAAAAAATGATTAGCACTTGCCAGGGCTTAGAGAAGGCAAGACCTGGAAAGAGACGAACAAAGGTGCATCAACAAGACAGTACATAAGAGGTCTAGAAGAATCGAAGATCACATGAAGAGGTGGGGATGTAAGATGGACAGAAGGAGAAGACAGGGTGTGGGACAGAAGAAACCAATGGGGCCAACAGACTGGAGTGCCATGCTGTGTGTTGGAACTTGATCCTGAAACTGGGCTTTAAAGACACCATTGCATTTTAAGAAGGTAAAATGGGCAGATCTGTGCTTCAAAATAATTGTGTAGCTGCTATGTGACCTGGCAGGGGTGAGGGTTGAGGCAGGGCAGTGACAAGGGTCTTGGGATGTTTGGAAATAGGCTGTTGAGTCCTGGACCAGGGTAGAAGGCATGACAAAGAGGGAACAGGGACAGATGTGAGACTTGAGAGGGATTTGGGGGAGAGAATGATTAACATGAAGTCCAAGGAGGAAAGGTCCCAGACAGACACAGGCAAGCAGCATGGATCTAGACAAGCCCACACAGAGGGAACTTGGTTTCTGTAACAGGCATGGCTTCCTTATCTATCAAAAAAAAAAAAAAAAGGTCATTAGTGGAAGTTGTTGAACAGTGAGTATAAAGTTTCTGTTGCAGAATACAAAGTTCTAAGATTTATACCACAGCAGTGTGAAGACAGGTAACACTACTTAGTTATGCACTCATAGGATTAGAGGGCACATTTGGAGTTATGCCTTTTTAACTATAACTAGTAAGGCTATTATGCTTCCTGAGCTTAGAACGTCCATAGGGCGGAGGTGAAATCTCCCTGTCACTGGTCAGTTTTCTTTGATAACCCTTCTTGGAAACGGGTTTTGACTGGTGGGGCACAGGGAAAGCATAATGGATCTGGAGAACTCACCAAACAGTACAGAAACTCTGCTGGCTCTGAGACATCTCTGAGAATCTCCTTGTGGCTGTCCCACAGCTCCTCAGTTCCTTGGCCTCTCCAGGGTGCATCTGGATACAGCCAGAGTCTTGGTGTTGACAGGAAAGCTGAGAGCTATAAACTGGGGAGGAGGCAGAAAAGAAGGAAGAGAGAAACCAGACACACAAACCTCAGAACCAAGGGTGGATCACCCAAGGTCAGTTCCTAAGGGTTGTGCAATCAACTTTCTGTGGGTTCTGACCCCACCCCTATTCCTCTCCCCTTCCTGCAACAGCTGGCCCAAGCCTGCCTACAGTTGTCGCTACAGGGACAATGCGGTGGCCAAAGGACATCTGATTGTCGTCTCCCAGTCCCAGGTTCACAGCATCTTAACTGGGTGACTTTGTGGGAAGCCTCTGTTTAACCTGTGGCACAACCTAAAACCCTTCTCCTTCACCAAGGTGCTGGCACCTTAGTAGAAGACTTTTGGAAGCCACGAGAGTGAGCTGAGTGGTGAAATGGCTGCAGTTCCACAGAAATAAATGGAGCATTACTAACCAACTCTGTTTGGACAGATAGTGTATGGATGTGTCCCATCCATCATGATGGTTCGGTGAGTAAAGGTACCTGCTGCTAACTCTGTGGCCTGAGTTTGATCCTGGAATCTACATGGTGGAAAGAGAGAACCAACTACTGAAAGTTGTCCTCTGACCTCCACATGTACAACCTCCCTCATAAAATAATTAAAATGAACATGTCCCATAATCAACTGTCTGTAGCATGGCTTTGTCGTAAAAATTAAAGAGCATTCTGTAAGGCATGGCTGTAAATGCCACAGATGGTGGTTTGTGTAGTGCGGGAGCTGGAAGGGCCTCCAGAGTTCACTAAGGCTAAATGTCTTCATTTTACAGTAAAGGAAATGGAAGCCCAGGCAGCTGTCTTGGTCAAGCTGCCACTTGTGTGACTTTAGGCATGTGATTTCCGTGTTTTTTTTTCTTTTTTTTAATCTCAACTTCTATGTGCATCTGTAAAATGAAGGGGTCATGGTCAGCTTAAACATCCTGTGACAGTATGAATCACAGAGCCATATTGTGAGATCCTGAGAGATTGGATTGGCTAGGGGAGGCAGGCTTTGGGAGCCTTCTAGAAGCCTTCAGAACCCAAGATGGAGAAGGCTACAGAGTCTTCCTAGCAGGTTGATCTTCCTGATTGACTTACACCTGACATTCCAGCCTAGGTAAACTGAATACCAACTGCGTGACTTGTCCCCGTTTCCTCCTAGCGTCTTACCTGCCTGGGTGGCTGGCCCTGGGGAAAGAGACAGATTGTGTGGGGAGTGGGAGTAAGAGGCAGGTGAAGGACAGGGTGGAGCAGAGAGCCAAGCAACCTCTCACCCATCAGACCCTCCAGTCAGAGCCTCTCAGGACATTTGGAACTCTGACGGGAGGAACAAAAAGGCTCTATTACAGACTCTTAGGTGCTGGGTTTGGGTGTGGACTAGGGGCAAGGTACTGAGCATGCTTTGGGGTAAGGAGAAACAGAGAGCTGAAGCAGGGGCAGACTGGTTCCCTAGGACCCGCCTCTGGCTTCCATCTCCTGGAGAGTTATTGATTAACAAACTCCTAGGATGAGTTCTTGTCTCAGGGAGGCCTTTGCTTGAAGTAGGTAATGGGCCGGCTTGGAATGAAGACTAACAGCTACTGAGCAAGCTGAAGAAAACTAACAGTTGTCAAACTCCTGTGGATGTGATCCTGCCGCTGGCTCCATCTCCCTATGGCTCTCCCAGAGTCTGTGTCCAGGAGAGTAAGCTCCAAGCCATGAATTCAGCATACGTTTCTTGTGCTTCTATGTCTCTTACTGTTTTCTCTCTCTCTCTCTTTCTTTCTTTCTTTTTTTCTTCCTTCCTTTCTTTCTTTCTTCCTCCCTTCCTCCCTTCCTTCCTTCCTTTTACTCATACTGTTTTCTTAAGCAGGAATTCCTTTGCACTTTCCATCTGCTCAGAAAACTCGTTCATTCATCCTTTCTCAAGACAACTCCCCTCCCCCACTCAATAACTAGTTAGTGAATCAATACCTATTCTACAAGAGAGTCCCCCACCCCTTAACTCTTTCCCCAACAGATTCATGAAAACAGCTTCCAATGCTTTAAGAGAAAAACAGAGTAGGAACAACTCCAAGTTTGATCAAGACAGGCTGCCTTAGGAAAAGGGAGGCTCCTTGATCAGGGGGCATGGTGCAGGGGAGGGAAATTGTGAGCCTCCTTTGGAAGCCAAGACATTTCCTGCATCTGATCTGAACCCATTTATCCAAAGGGCAAACATTCTTGGTCCCCAAATACCAGTAAATGGTTTTGCAACACTCTTCCCTGTGTACCTACTTAAGGTGTGGCCATCCACACCCACAAACTGCACACACACACGGTCCCAGCCTGTGATCTTGCCTTTCAAGGGAGCCTTTCATGATCCTAGTCCTGGCCTGGGTCTGGCTGTGTGACCTTGAACACTGGCTTTATTTCCTCTGAACCACATCTGTAAGATAGAGGCATTACTCATGCCCTGCTTACCTCGTGAGAACTGGGAGAGACAATAGATGAGAACGTGTTTTAGAAATAGCAAACATAAGAGGGCATTACTGGGAAGCCTGCTCACATTGTTCCCCTAGAAGTCTCCACGTCTCAATTCACCCCTTATCATCAAGAACAGTCACCCTATGTGACGCTCCCTGCCATGGCCCTCCTACCCTCCACATAAACCAGGGGGGCCTTATTACTCTTCGAGAATCTCAGAAATGTTGGTCCCCTTTATTGTTTGATGAGCCCTGTCACCTTTGTCATTTAAAAGTGCCATTTTGCAGTATGAGAATGAGGAGGAGACCTGGGTTTCTATCCCCTACTGGACCAGTATGGGTAGACTGGAGGTTCTTGGTCTTGTCTGGCTCTCTCTTTTAAGATACTTCACGCACCCCCACATCACAGATTGAAATGCACCTTGAGAAGGATGAAGTGAAGAAAGTTGCTCACTGATTTTCATCTGAAGGCGTCAACAGACTTTAAAAGCAGTTTTTAATGCCTCCTGCATAGCACCCCTCCATTTGGAATTGACAAGGGGGCTGAGTGCTAGGGAGAATGAGTTTATTCCTTATCTGTAAGTGAAATAGAGTCCTGGGCTTGGGATGAAGAAACACTGGCTCTAATTCAGTTTGGCCCCTTGAGCGACCCTAGATAAAGGCTTCAGTTTCCTCACATGCAAATGAATGAGGAGTAGGAGGCAGGAATCAGAGTTAGGAGGAACTGCTCCCTGGACTGAGATCAGAGACCTCCCAAACATTCCCCTGTGCCTTCAATGGTTTGTGTGGGGCAATTGGAGCAGCGAACCCACCTAAGAAAAGAAAGCACAAGTCACAGAGCCATGGGTGACAGGTTTACATTACCTGAAAACTAGAATCCAAGACGCCTGCCTTCCAAGCTAGACCTGCTACTAGCTGCAGAAGTGCTTTGGGAGTCCCAGACTTTCCTAGGAACTGGCCGCAGAGGGCTAGTCACAGTGGAGAAGAATGAGCATGTCAGTTGTGCAGAGCCCGCAGCTTTCTTTGGTCGAGTAAGACTGACTCCTGGAATGTTATTTCCACGAGTGCCCCCTGTAGACCTGTAGGTGTTCTCGTGCCTATCTGTAGGCGTAGAGGAGCTTTTGCCGCCCGGAGGGAATCCTGGGAGGACATGTGCGAACCTCCCACGATTTCCATGCGTAGCTATGCTCTGGACTCCCTTGTGCTCACTGGGGATAGCTGCTCTTCTCTCTGCGGAGGATCCACTGGGTATTTTAGCAGCACCCCCAAATCGGGTCCTCCCTGTCAAAACACATCCTGGACCCTCACCGGGAGACAGAAATCCCTGCATTTTTCCAATCCTATGGGTGCGCCTTACCTGCCTCTGCGATCCGTCTCCAGTGAGCGCTGCGATGATGACCCGCAGTGCTCCTTGCCCCCACAGCTCTGCACTCCTACTGGCTCTCGGTTCCCTTTTCCCTTCCCTGCATGTCCCCTCCTCTGGCCCCGCCCTGCCCTAGTACACCAGCTTCAGCGCTGGCTAGCTTGGGGCGCCTCCGCCCAGCTTCTTGGCCTTACCCGATTGTGGGAAACCGCCCGCTTCCTGGACCTGAGACCGATTTTTTTTTCTCGTTTGTGTCGCTATGTTTCAGCCAACCTAGCAAAAGGCTGATTTCCAGAAACCCAGACCAAGCGCTATGCGTTGGTGGAGTTGGGTGTAGCACCTGTGTGGCTCCATGGCACTGGTCAGTTCCCTACTGGGCCCTTGGCTTTCTCATAATAGGTACCACCGGCTTATGGTAGGGTCAGAAGTGTTCTCAGAATTCAAAATACTAAGACCGGGATAGCCAGAAAAAAAGCATCTGATTCTAACACAAACCCTGATTTCAGTTTGCAGATGCCCAAACTGGGGAGTCTATACTCACCAAGCAAGTTAGCATCAGAGCTGGGACTCGGAATGCACTAGTCTCCAGGAGGTGCCTCCTCCCTCCGGAGCCACTCACACTCCTAATCAGCTTGTGTCCAGCCACCTCTTAACTGGTGTCTGCTCCAGATCACTCGTTTTCCAGCCACTGGGCCCTCATTCAGCTTATTTCTGATGATATTACAGGCTACGTAAAGGAGAAGAAGCCAAGGGAAGCTGAGAAATGGGAGCCAGGTGGCCATCAACAGGAAAATGCCAGAACCCGGGACCAACCTCTCAGAGGTCACTTATTCAAGCTCTCTTTACAAGTGGAGGGCCATACAAGGCATTCAGACAAGCTCCGGCACACTCTTGCAAAGATCTGCTGCAGTATTTCTGAGGCACCTAATGTCAATCACAGAAATTTAGGACATGATTATCTAAGAAGTGCTTGGTGGGGGGCTGCCATAAGGTAGGCATCTTGTGCATAATTTCTTTTTTTTTAATCAATTTATTTGTTATGCATACAGTGTTCCGCCTGTATGTATGCCCGCTGGCCAGAAGAGGGCACCAGACTTCATTACAGATGGTTGTGAGCCACCATGCGGTTGCTGGGAATTGAACTCAGGACTTCTGGAAGAGCAGCCAGTGCTCTTAACCACCAAGCCATCTCTCCAGCCCTTGTGCATAATTTCTAATCTCCTTCAGAACACATCATTGCTGTGTTGTTTCTGGGCCATACGTTTCTATCCAGCCATTTTTCACTTCGGTGGAGACCACCTGTCAGAGAAGTCATCCTGACCACTGAGGTGTACTCTCTTAGTCTCCAGTCTGCAAACCTGGGGGGTGCTTGTTTCAGTAAAGTAGACTTCAGACTCCTCCCCCAGAGGCTCTGATTTAGAAGATCTAGGGTTCAGAAGTCAGCATATTAAAAAACAAGACTCTCAATGATGCTTAAGACTAGCCTTGAGGGCACAAGGCATACAAGGGGTGCACAGACATACCTGCAGGCAAAACACACACACACACACACCAAACAAACAAACAAACAAAAACCCTGCAAGGGGCAGAAAGATGGTTCAGCAGCTAAGAACACCTGCTGCTCTTGCAGGAGACCCCATTAGATTCCCAGTGACAATATGGTATCTCACAGCCATATGTAAACCCCAATTCTAGGGGATCTAATGTCCTCTTCTGACCTCCACTGGTACCAGGTACACATGTGGCATACAGGTGGGCAAAATAATCATAGACATAAGATAAACAAATCTGAAACAAGAATTTAAAAGACTAGCCTTGGGTAAGCAGCCTTGGTTCAGTCAAGGTACTGCTCCCTCCTCCAGTTTGGGAAAAGCCTCCTGTTCGTGACACAGGACTGTTGTTATAGCTGTTGAGAGTTGGGAAATTAGTTAGATTGTTAGTGCTCTGAGAACACAGAAAAACTTCTGTTCCAATAACATTTTAGTCAGAAATTCTGATTCATACCGTCTTAGAGTTCTAGAATCATTTAGCCATGGAACCTAAGCTGGAAGGACTCAGGTTCCAGGTAGTCTCCTCACCTAGTGAACCCTCTTCTGTTTCGTGTTTGGCAGGGGACTGTCCAGCTTCACTAACGACAGGGAGGAAGCTCATTGCCTCCAAAGCAGGAAAGTGGCTCCAATTCACGTCTCAAGCTGTCCTGTCCTTTGTCTTTGCACCCACGGGAAACACGAAAGCCTAATCTTGCTTTCAGAGAAGGCAGCTGACCAAGGAGCTGTTGGAAAGGGTCTGAGCTGTCTCATTCCCTCCCACTGTGCTGTGCAGGTTTCCTATGAGGCTAATGTGCACAAGGTGCCCAGAGCTTGGCTTTCCGGATGTGCGCAGTAAAGGCATAGGCCCTTGGATGAGAAAGGGCAGGAATAAACAGAGTTTCTGTCCTCAAGAAGCCTTGAGAAGAGCTCCTTCATCCACAGAGGCAAGGTGTCCCATTAAGATTGGGCAGAGAATGGAGACTGAGTCTAGGATGAGCTAACTTTAGCATGGGGAAGGACTCTCCTAGAGATATACCACCTTCAAGTCTTAGCTTAGATGCCACCTTCTTGTAGCGTCCTTTCTTAACCACCTATTTCCAAAGTCAAATCCCTTCCTTCTCTTACTCCCTAATACCCTTCTCTATTGTGCTTGCCAATAGCACTTTCTATCATGTGGTTCTGGGCATTGAACCTAAGTCGTCAGATTTGGTGATGAGTGGTCCTACCTGCTGAGACATCTCTCTGACCCTCTTGCTGACTCTCCATTCCTATAATCACCCCTTTCTCATTTCCATCAGGCCTAAGGGTGGCAATGATACCCGAGTGTTTCAAGCCCCAGGATTCTCTAACCCCACTTGTGGCTGCCCACTCCCTTGACCATCTCTAAACAGAGACTTCTCCATTACTGGGATTAAATCTGACTTCTTCTGATCAGTACCCATCCCAAGTATACACACGGACTTTGGACTCCCATAGAACAATGTGAGGTCACTCTCACCCTGAACTCTTGGGGAAGGGTCTAGGACCTGCCCTATATGAAATGACAGTCTATGGACACCCCCATGGAGGGCCTCACCCTCCCTGGGGGAATGAGGGGATAAGGGGGGGGGGTTGGGGGGAGGGCACGGGAGGAGGGGAGGGAATGGGAGCGGGACCTGGAACTGACTTGTGAAGCAACCTCGTTTCTTATCTAAATTTAAACTGGAAAAAAAGAAAGTTATTTGAATGCATGTTAAACATTAATGTAATTTTTGAAAGGTTATATCTGATTTTTTTTTACCAAAATAAATCTGGAGAAAAAAAATCTGACTGCTTCTGAGGTCCATTTTGGTGCTTCTACAGCATTTCCCTTTAACCCAGAACTTTCCTTTCTGGGTTACCATTATCTACTTTATTTGTTGACTCCAATCCTGGGACAGAACTCTTGGAGGGTACCAAGTCATTCCCAGAGTAGACGGTAAGATGAAATTGTTGAGCAAATGAATGAATGAATAAAGGAATGATGGTTATGGCCATGAAAATCACTTGGCATTGTGTTCTCAAGGAAAACTCTTCAAGAAAAGACTGAACTGGAGAAAGCCTGGAGGGACAACAGGGTGCTTTTTAACCTTTAGGCTAAATCCTCTCAGAATCAGACTCCCAAGTCTAACAACTCATGCATCCTAAGGCATCCCTAAGTGACACACACTCCTGAACTCTGGCTCCCCCAATGTTAGTAAAGACACCATTATCCTTCTGGGTCTCTTTCTTCATGCCCCTCAATCCACCTTTCCATCTAACTATGTGCTGATTTGGGATCTGCCTTCCCCGTCAGACTATAAATTTTCAGAGCAAAATCCACATATGTACTTTTATCATGGTGTTCCCAGAATGGCTACTGGTAGGAGAGAAGCTGGAGAGGTAGGGTGAGCATGGATGGGGCCTGTCAACAGATTAGAAGCCTGGAGCTCCTGGTCAGGGGAAATGGAGAATGAATCAGAGATTTAGTGAACGAACCAAGTGGACCTACCTCTAGCTACAGTCAACCGCTAATGTCTGTGGAGGACTCGATCCAGGAGCCCTGTGAACACTGCAAACCAAGAGACTGTCAAGTCTTTTCTAGTAAGATGGTATAGCATTTGTATATAGTCTGTGCACATCCTCCTACATACAATAAATCATCTCTAGATAGTTGGCAATACATAATACAATATAAATGTTATGTAAAGTGCCTTTGTACTGTATTATTTAAAGAATATGACAAAAAGAGTTTGTGTATTGTCGGGACAAATGGGATGTAGCTCAGTTGGGAAAATGCTTTTATAGCATGCACAAAGCCCTGCATTCATTCCCAGCATCACATAAACTGTGCGTGGCAGTATACACCTATAATCCTGCACTGGAAAGCTAGGGGCAGGAGGACCAGAAGTTCAAGGTCATTCTTGCCTATATAGCGAATTTGAGGTCAGACTAGAATACATGAGATCTTGCTTGGAGAGAGAGAGAGAGAGAAAGAGAGAGAGAGAGAGAGAGAGAGAGAGAGAGAGAGAGAGAGAGAGAGAGAGAGAAGAGAGAGAAAGAGAGAGACAGAGAGAGAGACAGAGAGAGAGACAGAGAGAGAGAGAGAGAGAGGAAAAATATAAAAGAAAAAAATCAGGATGAAGCCCCCCCAAATATTTTCAATCTATGACTACAACCAACTAGAAACAGAATAGAGATTAGGTATCTTGGATATCCTGGGCCCTGATGTTTGGGGCTGGGAAAAGTTTATGAACAGTTAATGAAATGATCTGAAGATCAACAACTCCTGACACTTGCCCAGCATTCCACAGGGCTCCGTCCATTCCCTGACTATGAATTAGGGCCATGTGTCACATAGGGTCCCAGCAGGAAACTGGTGACACCTGACACTGGGCAGTTTGAAGAAAGTGTGATGAGGGCTTAGTAAAGCAGCAAGGAGCAGGGCAGTGTACACACCCAGTTAGCAGAGGCAGGAAGGGAAGCCAGCCTGAGAATGGAAGGTGGAGGGGATGGGGAGTTCCAAGAATCTGGTGAAGGACAGTGGTGGGGAGGGCAGGGCATCCAGGCTGGAGCGACAACCAA